TCAGTGAAAAGTTTTGCTTAAACATCAAGAACTAGCAAACACAATCTTCAATAAATAAACACTGGCTAGCAATTTATCAAGGACTAGATCGTTATGCGGATTTAATTCTTCATCTTATTTCTTCGCTTGGTATTTCACTTTATTTTAAGCTATGGACTATCCCAGAATATCTTTTTTTCGATCACTGCCTGTCTGATTTCCAATTTTTGAGTTCCGTTGCTAAACAACAAGAACAATATTACAGAAACATACGTTGGGTCGAAGCAATGAAACTTCTACAATCTTGGTCTCATTTTAGATTATTCGTATATTGACACCAGATAGTTGTCTGGACTTTTGGATTTGTACTGAATCAACCAAATGATAAAAAGTCAACGGCTTCAAACACCCTGGAATTAGTTGTACTACTGCACGCCTGACCTAGTCCATTTTCGGTCTTTACTGTTTGTCGCAATCAATTTTTCCTTATGCGTCCAATCCATCGGATAATCTAAACTTCTGAACATAATCCAGGCGAGTTTTACTATCTTGCTTGATGGTTCACTGCTTTGATACTTAGCACGTATATATTTTCACCTAGCCGTATATATTCGCTAAAAACGAAGCCTGCTTAAAACCCCATAAAAATTACAAAATGGGCTCAAATAGCCTCCACTAAAAAGGGTGACATTCATTTGTGTATCAGAATACTGTTTTCAACACTTTATTTTATGACTACACATGATCCCATACTCTCGACTTCTTTCTGAACCACCTCCATTTGTCAGTTGTTTATCCACTCATACCTTGTTTACACTTATTTTCTTTAGCATATTAGAATGCTCTTGCCCAATAAATACCTTCATAAAAGAGAACTAGACTGAGTGGTTATGCCTTAACTATTTCTTCATGATCACTGTCTGCTCTACTTCTCGTCCTCTCTTTTTCTTTCATTTTTTTGGCCCCCTTCAGATATGCCACCGAAAACAGACGTGTATCCGGTGGTTTGGTCCTGCACCATCATTAGAGCCTCAGATATTCCAGAGGGATATAAGAGTGCAGTTTCTATAAGCTCCAAATTCAATGGATATATTCTCGACCGTCAGTTGCACTTCGCAACGCAACCTTCATAAAGCGCACCGTCATATCTTATAAAATATCAACCTAGCTGGGTAATTTACTACAGTCAAAATCATATCTTCTGTAACAATTTGATCTTGTCTGTAAACTGACATGCCTCATGTAACAAACTGTTATTTAAGAATAAATTATTATTATTAATATTATAATTCACACGAAACACTCCTAAAATGTTTGTTGGCATAATATGTATTTAATAACTTTATACGACAACATACAACTATGAAAGTGTATTGTTAACAGACGAAGCTTATTAGATCCACAAATTATTTAACATTTATTAATTTCATTTGCCTTTGCCACATGCTTATAAATATCACTAAGCCAACAACAGTAACTTCTTATCAAACGTCTATATTATAACTCGCCATATTCGTAACTGGAGTTCGACAAGTCGTACCAACTTTTAGAACTTGTCTTTTGGCCACGTTTATTTTTAAATTGTTATATTCCGCATCAACCTGCGTGTTAACCTGGTCTGTACATGCGTTGAATTATATATCTGTGTCTTTTAAACTTAACAATCACTTGGATCGTCTTTAACACTTTTACTAAACCTGTTATGGTTGTCGTTAGTATACGTATTTGGGTTTATGAATTGGACCATCATAGTTGTCTAAAAAGACGTTGGAAATAGTTCAGATAACAACGTCAACGAAATAAGGTTCTATCGTGCTACACTAGTTTAATAACTAAACTATCAGACAGCTGCTGATCAACCAGACATTTAAAATCAAAATCAAGGAGCCTGCTATTAAAATTAACACTATATAGAAGAACATTTTTGAATTACAATTTATAATATAATCAGGCAGGTCGGGTTTGTTAACCCTACAAACGTCTACTTTTTCAGTATCACATAAAACAGCACTACATATTTTCCACTGGCTAATCCTCGATCAACACTACGACTATATTTCAAACAATTAGTTTTCTACCTTGTGCCAAACTCCATAACTGCAGCAAACTTATATATAACATCAGCCAGAAGGTGTGAATATAAACAATTACTCTATTGCATATCAGAACACTGCGTCTACATCATGTCCCTCACGAATACACTCATGTCTATAGAATTGCTTTTGGCAATTTGTCTAAACTGCACAAAATTATCAATACTTTCACGCAAAGCCATTTTGATATTCGTTCATATGTACTGGTAATATTACCAAATCTTATCACCGTTAAGTAATAATGAGATCGAACAAATCTCCCTGTAACTAAATAAATTAAATTTGACAAACTAACTGAAACACTGGCTGGAATTATTCTTCTCAAAGGTTAAACTTCTGCTCTTTCAGATAGCTTACTAATGCAGATGCAATTAAAAATCAACTAATACAGATAGCTTACCGATATGAACGTTATTTTACTCTATGATCTAAACCAGGCTTAATACTATTATCAGTCAGATAGTCCGCTACAACGTACGACTAGAAACATATATGCATCAGTCCAAGTTTCCATACCTCATTAGCACAACAAGATGAAAACCGAATTCATAGAAGCACTTACTTCAATAGTAGACACCAACACATCAGGGCTCATCAGACTTCCAAGCTAGGTGTTGTCTACGCATTCGACTACTTCACTCCCTATCCTTAGTCCAGGCATTAATGTAGGCAAGACCTGAAGCAACAATTTGCATTTAGAAGGGAGAGGGGAGACATTCTGGCATTGTTGCTCAGTGCTACCAAAAGACTGCATTTTAACAGCTTCATCAAACATGACTATGTTCCAGATGGCACAGGTATTCAGTGTTTGACAACGCTTTAACCAGTAACACCTTCTAATATGAATTGTACCTACCAAGAGAAATCAAAAGACAGAAACGAGGAGGTCCGAAGATATATTTGATAGGCTATCAATATATTGAGAATCGTCTGATCTAATCTGGCTTGCGATTGCATAGGTTTGTTGAGCATAGCGTTCCCACTCGTGATCTGGTGTGGATGCATGACCGAGCGCCTTCAGCTAGGTGAGTCCATTAAAACATGTGGTCAGCATCTAGTGTCGTAAACTTACAGAGCTATTTATTTTGGGGATTTATTTACCGCTACAATATCCTCTCTTTTTCTTCCCATTAGATCGAGACGTCTCAGAGGACATAGCTGGCTGGTAGAAAAGCCATGAACGAACAAAATACCCGTAGCATACAGGTTTTCACTCTGAGTCATAGAATCTTAGGACATGTTGCTCGAAGCAGTGGTGTCCTTACTTTCAATTGACTCATTCAAGTGAAGACTGGACACTCATGAAAGCATACTGTACAAATCTGTATCTGAAAATTCTGTGAACAAAACACAGAAGTGCTTCAGAAGGCGAGGCAGGAACACTTCAGAGATCACTCTCTGTTGACACACAAACTGATGTGGATCCATCCCAAGTGATCTTTTAACAACTGACTCACATCGTTCAAAGGAGGAAATACCATCTTCAAAGAGGTCTGTCCTAAATTAAAACTCAAGAGAGGAGGTTTCCTCTGTCTCCCATCCTCTAAATGGTATCCGGCAGGAAACACCTGAGTATCGCAATTGCAAGGCTCGAACTCTTTCTAGCAGGAAACACAACCTGTCTTCCCAGGTCAGGTCGTAGGCAAGAAACGATATAACGATATATAAGAAAATCATATCATCCAAAAAGTAGTCGAGAAATCGAAGACTGATCACAGTGACATGTCAGACTTTGGTAAACCTCAGGTATTCTCAATTTACTTTACACATGTATACACCACAGAAACGCCTTTCCCGTCAGAGCATACAAATTCCCCCACACATACACTGGATAGCGTGACCATTAAAGAACTAGATGTTTTTGGTCTGCTAAATAAGCTTGACATAGGTAAATGCACGAGGCCCTATAAACTGAATCCTAGGTTACTAAATGAACTAGCTAACTTCGTTGCAAACACTTTAGGTATATGCTTTAATCTGTTCGTAACTCAGAGTCGTTTACCGAAAGACTGGAAGGACGCCACAGTAGGTCCCGTCTTCAAAACAGTTACGAAACATAAACCTGAGAGTTACCGGCGCGTTAGCCTAACAAGTGTGGTTGTTAAAATCTTGGAAAAGATTATTCGGAAGGAGCTTTTTAAGTACCTCGATGAAAACCGGATCCTTTCGGAGAAATAACACAGTTTCAGAATAGGTTATTCTTGTCTCACTAACTTATTACTCGCTCGTGAAAGCTGGTGAGCTATTAAGGACCAAAAGTTACCTGTAGACGTAGCCTACATTGATTTAAGCAAAGCTCTTGACAGAACTCCGCACAATTGGCTGTTATATAAGCTAAGAAATGTCGAACTCGGAGGCAATCTATTGATGTGGATAAAAGACTTCCTAGTTGTGTGCCAACAAACAGTACGAGTGGACTCAAAGTTGTCTAGCTGGAAAAGTGTGCTTACTGGAGCGCCCTAGGGTACAATTTTGGGGCCAGTGCTATCGCTCTTGTGTGTAAATGACCCTCCTCGTCTCCTATCATCATCGGTCTTGCTATATGCTAACGATGTCAAGATATGGAGAACAATACGATGTAAGGGTGATAATTAGAACTCCTAAGTGACCTGAAGAAATTATCTGAATGGTCTCAAACCTGACAGTTGCCGATAAATACTTCCAAGTGTATTGTGATGCATTTCGGTCAACAAGGTACAAATGCACGATGAACAATATTGAGCTACCTGTTATTTTGACAAACAATGACTTAGGATTCATTGTTCGTGAGTCCTAAACCTCAGTACTGCATACACGCGGCTAGCCCTCGTTTAAAAAAGCCAGTGATCTTTGGGAAAAGGTTCAGGGAACAGCAACTAAGCTGACTCTCAGAATAGCGAAGCTCATGTATGATGCTGGACTGGCCAAGCTAAACCGAAACTGAAGCGTTGAGTCCCGAGCGGCTATTTCAACTACTGGGCTACTAGGTGTGGTGTCTTCTGCATCTTTGTTAGTGATTCGATTTTGTAGTACGGGCGTTTGTTGGTTCAATCTACGACTTAAACATTTCTGGACTTGGTATAAAATTCATTTTCACAGCTCACTTATGAAAAATACCACTGACTTGCAGAAGACCTGTGTATCTATAATTAGATCCCACACGACTTGCCTTTTGGGGATATAATACAGCATATGCATATAATCTTCAGGCCACCTCCTTCAAGAAAACACAGTTATGTTTGCGTTCCTCAACGTATGACGAGGAAGTTTGTTGATACGATGTACATATGTGGACATATGCTGATACACCCAACGCCATGCATCTAATAGTTTAACCATGCTAAACCTTACCAGCTAGTTTTGGTTTGTTGCTTTCTGTCCATTCAATCATAAGTACACTTTTGAGTCAGATATATCTAACTTCCGTTGTTTATTCTCATTATATGTAAAACTCGACAGATAATGAAATACGTGACTGATCTCACTAGTTCCACAGGTTGCGATATTTCTAACCTGTGCCTAGATCACAAGACGTAATCAGTCTTCAGGCATGGCTGCAAGTTATTGTCCGAACCATTCCCGACTGTTTCCTGAAAACTATTCACACTGTTTGACTTTTAATCATCGAACCTTGTACAGTCCTAGAAAAGATTACGCTCACTGAAATAAATCACTTAACTCGTTGGTAAGTGCCAGTTTGGTGTAGTCAGACGCTTACTCTTACAACCTCCAGTACCCATCCATGCTCATTAGGGTAAGTCTCTGATAATACATTGTTTTTTCTTACTAAATACGCCGCATAACAAGATTTTATTTCGATGACTTGTCTTGGTCCCCATAACAGATGAACCTCACCGAACTTTCCAAGTGGCTTCCCTTTTAATGGCTGTTAATTCCGTTATCCCATCAGAACTACGTCAATTAAGAGCTTGCTTATTATGTGGTCTAGTGAAAACTCTTAACCAATTTCAACTAAACGGATGCGAAAACTGTGAGGACTTTCTAAAGATGCAAGGAGACCGAGAAAAGGTATACGAATGTTCTTCTGCTAACTTTGATGGTTTACTTGCTATGATGTCACCAAACGACAGTTGGGTTGCAAGATGGCAGATGATTGATAAACTTACGCCGGGTGTTTATGCAATCAGTGTCTACGGATCTCTTCCTAGTGACATAGTGCACTATTTACGAAGCAAAGGGATTTCTTATCGATCACTAGACAAAAGTGGTAAATAGTACCTTCCTCTGCTACATGCATTCAGCGACGTGGACATTGGATGACGTCTATTGAACTTCTTCAGACAAAACCTTTTTATGAGATCAACCTACCAGTTATCTTCATGTACAAAGTATTTTCTCGAAAAAAGCAAGATCAAACTGTAAAAATACACCATTCTTCTGAACAACTGCCTTATGCTATTAGCAATTAAACCTTTGCTTAGTAAGTTTGACTTTTCTATAAAAACCTGCTTTTTTGTTGTTCAAGTTAGTTAAACGCAGTGTGGAATCTGGCACAAGTGTAAATCGGTCCAAGTCTCCATACTCCATTAGCACAGCAAGATAGAATTGTCAAGGCAAATCCCGCAGTAGCAACAGTATCAGTGGTAGTAAGATTCAATAAAATATGAATTATCGAAACAAAAAGAATAATACTTATAGGAAATTTAGGATCTAAGCGAAGATAGTGAATGCATCCGGGTTTCTGTGAACGGTTCTGAGTCATGTCATTCAAACTACCTAACATTTAGTTACGATAACCACACGGACCACAACTAGTTAGTCTGCATCTACCTACACGGATCAGTTCAACAATTAGTCTTCATAGAATGACGTCTGCTAGCTTCCAACCTATTCTTACGTCAGTTAACTTGATATTATCAAAATGTAAGAGAACTGGTTCGCAACACCTGTGTTCGGATACTGGTAGTCTACGGATATCCTCTGTTCCTAAAGCCCATATTTCACAACCACAAGATAGAATGAAGTGGACTTCTGCACTGTAATCTCATCCTGTATATGGCAGACGAATATGCTACCTACTGTTATAACTTATAACCGCCGATTAGAGGACAGTGAATTATTGTTCGGACCAAGGACGCATAAGACACGTGCGAGCAGCCTAGAGTCCAGATTAGTCTCGCTTCCTGTCTAGCCCAGCCAGCTAAGTCCAGAACCCCAGTCTCAACCTCTGCAATATGAATCATTATATTTCAAACATACTGAGTTTATATACCAACCAAACAGACCACATCGTACCATAAAATAGGAAATGACATTTGCACAAGATTTAGCCAAATGTGACTGTGAATAAGGGAGATAGTAATTGATAGACAAGGCATAACTAAAGAATAATAAAACGTATAATAATGGTTCATAGGTCAAAATAAAGTTTATGATAAGAGGAACATGAATATGAATAGTTTAGTTACTTAACAATTATACGACAAAAATATGCGTTTAGTATTAGTCTATAAAAGGATCCCAAAGTTACCATTCATTATGCTTATCGGGACCTAACGCCTACACCATAATATAGTAAGCGTCAACCGAGTTCACTAAATTTGCTCCGAGACTTCGTCAGACCACCTCCCAGAGCTGATGAGACTTCCAAGATAAGTGAAGTGATCACTAAACTCAAATACACTAGATTATTAGTTGAGGCGTTGACGAAGACCAGTCCTGAAGCAATATTCTGCATTAAGATGGAGTAAAAAGGATCCCAAACATCCTAGCATGTTTGTTTGTTTTAACAAGTATCAAATTAGGACATTACTAGTAGGTGTGAATTATGTAGAGAAAGCTAGTTACAAAAATCTAACTGAAGCTCTAATGTCGACTGATATCAAGTGTTTTTTCGTTCGCTGGTCTGTAATTTTCTGAGATCCAAAAAAATCATCAACGAAATTAATAACTCAGTTTCATAAGCGGTTTCCAGAATCAAAGTGAAAACTACATAATAATCACAAAAGACTTCTGACGCCATTACTTGAGACCTAAGTGGTTTATTTCACAACAACGTAACGGATTTGCGTAGAACTAATTCACTGCTTAGGATATACTTTTTGAGAACGATAAATTCGATAATTCCCTCTATACTAGCCATCAAAATGGATGTACTGGGAACGGCGTCAAAACATTTCAGTTAATGGAGTGGGACTTTGTGACTCACTGTAATAGCATTCTGATTAGAGTTTATTAATTACATCATTATTCACATCGTGTACATCATAAAAAGACATGCGAAATCATTTTTCAGTCAGTCATCTACAACGCACGACCAGACACATATATGCATCGGTCCAAGTTGCCATACCGCATTAGCACAACAAGATGGACACCGAATTCATAGAAGCAGTTACTTCAATGGTAGTAATATAAAAAAGAAAAATTGCACATAATGATATGACACAGAGGGAAAGAATTAGTTCGTAGAAAGAAAGGTATAAAGTAGTTTTAATCTCACGGTTTAAGGGAAGACAAAGAATGTGTACACCTACGCCAACGTGACTGATTTTGAGCCATGTCACCCAGTCTCCAACCCTTGGTAACGATAGTCACACAGACCCCAACCAAATGGTCTGCATCCACCAACGTGGATCAGACCAGAAGTTAGTGACCTAATGGACTGATGCCACGTTTTAGTTTGGCCGCCCCTAACTTCCATACGTCTCCAACACTAGTCAGCATTGTGCGTCATGGTAATCAGCGTTCCGGCATACGTAACAGGTGACTCAGCTGATGAAAATTCACAACCTCATCAACTGGTTTGCCATCGTTCCCTGATACCCTACACGTCTAACCTCACCATTACCTACCTGATGATCCCAGCAATATTTCTAAGACATCTGCAATCGCGTACTAGTAACTTACGAGTATCTTCAACTCTTAATGGCCACGTTTGGCAGCCGTAAAGTAGAACAGAACAAATTGCTGAGCAGCATACTCGTTCCAGGAGTAGTGGATGGAAATTTCTCCTTCACCATAGGTCACGTAATTTGGTAAAAGCCAAACGAGCTTTTTGAATCCATGCTGAGATTTCATCAGACACCAACCCACTAGGGCTGATCAGACTTCCAAGATAAGTGTTGTCCACGCGTTCGACTACTTCACTCCCTATCCTTGGTCCAGGGTATTGATGTAAGCAAGTCCTGAAGCAACATTTAGAGCAGAAATGAATCTCAAACATTCTGGCATTGTTACTCAGTGCTACCAAAGGACTGCATTTTATCAGCTTCATCAAACATGACTATGTCATCTGCGTATCCTAAGTCAATAAGTGAACCTCCTGGTAAGGGATCAGTATCTGAAAATGCAGTAAACGACGACGTTATTCCCAGCAGTAGGTCTATGACGAAATTGAACAGAAATAGAGATAGTGGACAGTCTTGGCGGACACCACTTGAGATTGCAAAATCAAATGACAGTTCTCAATAAGCTCTGATTAGACTGGTAGTGTTCGAGTAAAGAGCCTTCACAAGGTTTATATACTTCTGAGGTACACCTTTCAACGACAGTCACTGCCACAGAACCTCTCGGTCTACAGAGTCAAATGCTGTTTCTAAATTTAAAAAAACTATCATTGTCGGGCAAGAATGGGCATGGTTGTGTTCTAAAATCTGATGAGCGGTGAATATGTGGTCGATGCAGCCACGACTAGATCTGAAGCCAACCTGATTTTCTCGTGTTTGCAGTTCACGAGTCTTTTTAAGACGTCCGATAATTATTGAGGCTAGTATTTTAGATGTCATATTGGTTAAACTAATCCCTTTATGGTTAGCACAGGATGACCTCGACCCCTTCTTATATATTTAGACGATCAGTGGTTGCGATCAGTCACATGAGATTACGTCCTATTCCCAGATTTTAGCGAAAAGTGCCGCACAGTATACTCGTCCTTTTATTGATAGACGGATAACTCGCCTTCGCCACAGCTGACGTTATTTGGCGAAAGCCAAATGAGTTCTTCAAATCCGTGCTGATTGTTTTCTCAGCATTTTGTCTTTCAGTACTGTAAAATGTCAGGATCATTGTTGTTTTCGTAATACGGAAAATCTAAACTCCTTACAATGTTACGATAAGTGTACACCGCAAGATCAAATCTATATACAAATATTACATGAAAATTCATTAGGTGTTTTTTGTAAAATATAATTAGGAACTGTCGAAAAATAGATATTAGCTTCTATATTAGAACCTATACTATTCCCTCATATCATCTATAGCAGCACGAGTCTCCTACACGATAGCAAATATTCGGCGCTTTAACTGGGTTAGTGGCACAGTGAGTTCACATAGGGGAGATAGAGAACCTTAATTTCAAGCCGGTGGTGCACACAGACCCCAGGATCCCGAGGGAACAAATGGCCTATGAACGGATTGTTGGTTACCGGCTTCCATAGAACTGCATCTCCTGACGTCGCCCCACTGCCTTGTGGATCATATCTTTAGGCCGAAGGCTCCGGGTGTTGATCCCTAAGAAAAACACTTGCTCTGGTCTGGGCGCTCGGACAGTACCAGGGCCCTCGCACAAATCAATGATTACTACTGAAAAAAATTGCTCCTGCTTTAACGCCTATTCACAATAATATGATAATACTCGTCATTTGTGTATTCCCCCTTACTCTCATTTTGCGTATTTTATTTTTAAAATTATCCAGCAGTTCGCCTATGGTGGAAACCCTGTCCTACGATCCCAAGTCACTGACTGGTCGAAAGTTGAATGCTACCACCGACTAGGACTACTGAATCAGTCTTTGTGAAACCACGTATGCCATTCAAACTGGCCTCCTTCAACGTTCACACACTAATGCAGACCAAACGACATATATATGATTGGCTATGTCTTTAGAAAGTCTTAATATAGACGTTTGTTGTCTATCCAAGACTCTAGTGAAGCACTGCAAATTCGCTCTCCATCTGTCACTTCGAAGGGCTTGTTTCACATGCGTTTATCCAGGGACCCTGTAGCATCTACATTTAGTTTCGCTGTCGTTTGTGTCGCACTAAGCACTAGAGCTGAGGCAGCACTGATCGACTGGATATCCATTAACAGCCAATTATGTGCTGTTAGATTAGAAAGTTCCATCATAGTGAGAAATCAGTGTGAGAAGCGACGTCTTTTCGTTATTTCCACTTACATTTCGACAGATTGCATCTCGGATGCGACAAAGGATGAGTTACACTATCAGTTAAGCGTACTGACCGGAGACTTGACTGTGGGTGTTAGGCGTCTAAGCACAGAGGAGAGTCGTTTGGGTAACCAATGAGGACTTCTCGGTCGCAGCTCAGATAACGAGGACCGTCTACTGCGCAGACTACAACCTGTTTCCGGTTGGGATTAACTATCGGCACAGTCATCGCCGATGTCTCACCTGGCGTCCTTTCTTTGCATCTCAAGTTTGGACTCAGACTAATCGCATCGCGATCAACTACTGCTGGCGTGATTGTACACAAAACTGCGGCTCCTTTTGGAGTACCTATTTGGACTCTAATCATCCCTTATGTTTCAGTGGCCAACAAATTTGTCGTCCTAAATGGATCGAAGTTGGCAAACTGGTTACAGCATCTGTTGCAAATGAATATCAAACCGAGCTATGTTTGAGGTTAATTACCACTCACCAAAAAGTATATATTAGTATTGGTTGCCATTGCCATGAAAATGACGAGTAAAATCGCTTGCGGTTGGAAAGAGCGAAGAGGTGGTCAGTGTATGGCATGGTGTCATGGTATAATAGGAAGTTGAATAAGACTGGTCCTAGAGATGACTCAGAATAGAAGCCAGTGACAATCCTGTTGTTTCTTTTACTTCATGAGAAATGAACGTAACTCTAATTGAAAGAATTCTTGCTGGTTAAATTTTTGTTAACTGAACTGTTCCTCCCATTATTATTATTTTACTTGCATACACTAATTCTTGTTGGTTGTTGTTCTTTTTTTATTATACGCACTCTATATTCTCTATCTCTTCACAACCTCATTGTTATTGTGTGGCGCATATGTATTTGGCGCCCCCTTGTATCTATGTATATGAGTTCAAATAAATAAATAAAAATAAATACGATAACGCCGTGAGGAATGATTCACAAAAGAGTACTTAAAAGCGAATAAAGTGGTCATGGAGTGAACCATACTACCCTATTCTGAACACAATAGTGATAGTAAAATTATCTTTGATTACATACAAACAATACTTCTGAGATCCCTCAAGACATCTTTACTTAGCTAAAACAAACTGAGGGGGAAAAGTATCATTTGAAGGATTACAATGTATTTGTATTGCCGAAACCAAGGAAATGTTATATAAATTAAAAAGTCGTGAGTTTCCCGAACTTTTTGAGTGATGGAGCTTTACAAGATTCTTTGAAAGTCAAAAATACAAAATTTCAGTAAACAATTTACACATCTGGAGTACAATTATTAGTTCATCTGAAAATTAAAAAGTAGTGAACATGTTATGCTTCAATAAATCTCTTTGTGTTGTTTAGTCATGTGATACCAATAAAGATAGTTAATATATAATAGATGGAATCTCCCTAGCGTTGGGATCCAGGATGCCCGTTTCACCCTAACGGGGTAAGTTAGCTAGGTGTATCTGGACCCCAGAGTTAATGTTCACTCCAGGACTCGAACTCAGTACCGTGTGCTTCTGTGTCAACTTGTCATAACTGCTATATCGGAGCAATCCGCACAGGACGTCCATATGCCAACAATGAATAGTCAAATCTCAGTCAAAAATTAACGGGACAATCCAAATCATCTTTAAATATTACTCATCCCGATCGGCTATATTGTTTGAGTTGTTAAATCAAAAAAATGCTCTGACCGATTTAAGGTTTTTCATGTATGCATATATTAAGGTATATTGGAATAAAAGATGTTGAAGTTCTAATTAAAAACCAACGATTTTTGTTTCCCATACATATTCTATATGACTACGTACAATGTCTAACTATCTCATACCGTACGTAAAAATCCTCGAGTTGTATAACACCAGTAGCTTAAGACAAGTTCAATAGTCGGGATAAGATTGACTTATAGTCACAACAAATATAAACAGCTCAGTGATTAAGGACAAGAAAATAAAGAGATTGAGATTTCTCTTAAGAACCAATTACACAAATAAGGTTGCGGCTGTACCACTGTAAACGAATTTCGACCAAATGTTAGGGACAAAAAATCATCCTATACTTCTTACTTTGCGAAGATTTACAACAGAGCCTATTTTCGAATACTCTGCATTTGAAATTCACGGTGTTGATTGGGGTTACAGTACTAGAAGAGTCAAACTACCACGATATAAACGTATCTGATTAAATCATCAACTACGAAATCAAAACAATTGTTTACTTAAAATGAATACGATACAAACCTCACAATCCCCTTTATAAATTTACGTTTATTCAATAGTTTATCTAGGATCACTAGAATAACAATTAGCTGATGAAACAGAAGATAATCTTCCCTAACCAACAATTCCAATAAACTCGAAAATTACACCAAATACACTACAGTTGCGGAACCAGTAAAATTTACAGACGGTCGGATTTTTAAACAACAAAGTGTATACAAACACTACCTAATTAATACATAGGTAAAAATTATTTGCTTACATGTAAGGATTTTGCGTTGGTAAGGGTTCCATATAAGTAAATTACACTAGATATTCCTGAATCTTTTATAAGTACATGTAAACGCAGTATTTCAAAATATGTTTACAATTTAAGTAAAGCCTAAAAATCAAATAAACCCACATATATCCTACATGTGATAAGTCCTTTTTTAGCTTTACGGTATCATTATAGCCGAGTAAGATCACCGAAACTTTATGCTTAACGGATTTGGACAGAAATAAATGCATCAGTACATTTAAAGTTTACTGAAAAAAAAGATTGACCTACTCACTCGAAAAGTTTGTTAATTCGCTCCTGCTCATTATCTAATGGTTGTCTTGACTTTACAAGACTTTTGCGACTGTCACATTTTTCTAGTGTTTGTTGATAAGAAGTCAGAGGAATAGGTTTTGACAAGTACGAACTGGGAACACAAGGTTTTATGAATGTGTTCCGAGGAAGATGGGGTGGCCAGATCTAGAATGACAGATAATATTTCCATTTAGGAAACAATACAAAGAAGAAATAGGACGGATAAGTGAAAGACATAGCACACGGTCACAGAAAATTTACAAAGCGATTAGATTCTTTGTAAATTTATTTAAAGGTTTCATTTACTAGACTAAGTAAAACATCAACTAACCGAAGGACTGGAGTATAGGTATCTAATGAACAGAATATGAATTTGCGATAATTTGTGAACTCGAATATTACTGCTGATACTTTTTCTTATGGTTTTGAACGTTGTTTTCCAAAACGTTAGGCTTATTATGACACATCTTCCTGTGCTTGAGTAAATTAAGAAATAGGTTTGTAGTATGGACGACCACTCTCGCAGTCATCTTGAACAGGATTTTTAAACCTTTTTCATACCCTGGTTGTCACGTCGGTGCACATATCTCGTTCATGATTACAACATGCATGATAAACTTTTTTCCAAAGTGTATAGCTGGTTGTTGGTTAAATACGTCACCTGGCCCATATTTGTCGATGTATGGTTCAACAAGGCGCAATATTTAGTAGTAAATTGGACAAATGTTTTATTCATCAAACATATTTTACAGTAACTTTGCAAATAATCGTATCCAGTCAAATACTAGCGAAGAGTGTTTAGCGATATTTATGGATCCATCGTGATAGAGTAAATAACTAAATAGACTACTATAATCAGCCATGTTATTTCTTAAGGATCGACTAGCTTTCAACGAAATACATCTCGTCAGCCGTAAGGCCAACAAAATGTTAAACTCCTTATAACTGGCACTGACAAAATCATATCATTCAATTAAAAGACGTGAAAATAGCACACATCCTCAAACTCCATATACAGATTCGTGCATATATACGTGTTAAAAATGTTAAAATAGCAACAATAATTACTTACTTTGATGAAGTTTTTAAAGTTGACCTTATTTAACTGTTCGTCACTGTGGAGTTGTGGAACTTTCTGAGGGATAGTTATAGGGGCAAGAATTACCAAGTTTGTTTGATTTAACTAATTAGAAATACAAATGAACATTTGGAGAAAATAAGTTTCAGCTTTTTTACGCCAGAACATTTAAATTTGAGAAGACAAACAGATTGGAACAGATAACCTATTATCACGGAAGAAAACACTTGAGTGTAATAAGATTTCATAGATTAGTTGTAAAGAACAAACTACAAGTCCCTAAACTAATATTTTAATATGCTATTACTGTTCACCATATTGTACAGCATTACTTACTACCGTTATTTAATTCGCTGTGCCTAATGTGTCCGGGGAAAAAACTCGAAGAAACTAACTTAGTAGTCTTATTCATCTGTTTAGTTCTTCAGAATAAATCATTTTTTCAAAAAAACACATGGACAATATAATAATCTACTCACCAAACATCACTTATATATAAGTTAATTCAAGCGTAGTAATTTTATATTACTTTGGTATGTTTTGATAAATTGCAAAATTAGTATTCCTTTTAACCTTAGATAGAAATCTCAACACTAAATCGACAATTCAATCTATGCAATCATTATTGTTAATTAAAGAATTTCATTGAATGCACTATGATAAAAATAATGGTTTGCCAATGACAGTGAATTCAACTAGCAAACATGGTTGAGGAATGTACACCTTTTAAGTCCAGTGAGTGAAATGATTTAAAGAGAAACCAGTGATCACTATGTATGTAACTATACAAAACCTTAAAATAAAAGGGAACAAAGTGGCAGGGACTTATTTATTTATTTGAACACAAATATTGGTACAAAGGGGCACCGAATACGTGTGCGCCACATAAGTCACTTGATTTGTTTGTGGGCTGTGATACAGCCTGGGTGCCTAGTGGAAGGGACATGTATTTCTCGCTACAGAAAATCCCAATACTTTGAAAACTAAGGCTTGGAAGTATAACAAATGAGACCTCCAAGTTGTCTAGTTAATTCAGTGTGACTGCAGAAAAGTCTACTTTCGAAAACTTACCCAGAAGATAGTATTTAACACACACAGATTTAGTACAAACAATCTTGATAATTTTTAAACTGACAATCTGAGTTGCTTAGACGTATCGCTTATTCTGGAGTACATGCTTAGATTCAGATCATGCTCTAGTGCGAGCCCGTATTTGTCTGCGTCTTACCTCACGTAGGAAAGACGCTGTAAGGAAGCCTCTCATGGACCTACTTAATGATGGTCAAGCTAAGAGTATATTTTAGGAACAACTAGAAAAACAGTTAGGCAGCCATGTATGTGATGCCCACCCCGAGGCAGCATGGAATGACATCCGAAAAGCTGTGGAAACAGCAGTGATATCTGCTAGTACGATAAAGCGTAAGGTTAGGGAGAAACACTGGATCTCAGCAGCATCTACCACACTGATAGGTGCTCGAAAACTCATTCCATCTGGCCCTGAACATAACGAAGAGCGGAGTCAGCTTAAGCCCAAGCTGACAAGAAGTCTAGGCAATGATCGCGAACAGTGGTGGGTAGCGAAAGCAAGAGAGATGGAAAAGGCAGCGGCAATAGGTAATAGCAGACAATTGTTCAGACTTTTTAAGGAAACCGTATTAGGAAACCGACTGTTAGCGAAACACTCTCAGAGAAAGATGGACATATTATACATTCTCAATCCAGGAGATTGGATCGATGGGCATAACACTTTAGGGATCAGTTCAACTGGCCCTCAGCCACACTTTGGTTTCCCACGATCTCGAGTCTACCTGAATGGCAAGTTAACGTAAGTCCTCCGACTCTTTACGAAGTTGAAAAATCTATAGAAAGTCTGAAGCGTGGGAGAACAGCAGGCCCTGATAGGTTTACTCCTGAGATTTTTAAGAATGGTGGTTCAGTATTAGCAGTGAGATCGACTGAGGTCTTAGGTAGAATCCGGGAGCTGGACGTAATCCCATCTGACTGGTCTCAATCACTGATTGTGCCAGTCTATAAGAAAGGACAAAAGTCCTCTTGTGACAATCACAGAGGAATCAGTTTGACAAATATAGTGTCTAAAATATTAGCTTCAATAATACTTCGACGCCTAACTAGAGCTCGTGAAGAGCAGACTAGAGAAAATCAGGCTGGTTTTCGACCTGGACGTGGTTGTATAGACCAGATATTCACGTCAGGTCCTAGAACATAGACACACACCCAGACGCTTCACAATCGTAGTACTTCTTGACCTTAAGGCGGCATTCGACTCTGTTGATCGTGAGGTTCTATGGCAATGTTTGTCACTGAAAGGAGTAACAAAGAAGTACATTAACCTTATACAGGCTCTTTACTCGAACACAACTGGTTGAGTGAGAGCTTATGGCGAACTGTCATCAGAATTGATTACCTCAAGTGGTGTTCGTCAGGGCTGTCTACTCTCTCCATTCTTGTTCAACCTTGTCATTGACGTACTTTTAGAGATAGCACTTTCCTCGTCCAGATTTCCAGGAGTTGAACTTCTACCAGGAGGTTCACTTGTTGACTTGGAATATGCTGATGACATAGCTTTATTTAGTGAAGACGCTGACAAAATGCAGTCTTCTGACCACTCTAAGCAACAATGCAAGCATGTTCGGCATGCGATTCTCTCCCTCGAAATGTAAAATGTTGCTTCAGGATTGGGTTGCATTGACACCCGAACTAATGATAGGGAGTGAAGTAATTGAGCGTGTCGACCGCTTCACTTATCTTGGAAGTCTCATCAGCCCTTGTGGTTTAGTGTGTGACGAAATCTCTGCACGGAAACAGAAGGCTTGACTAGCTTTAACCAACTTGCGTCATTTATGGCGTAAGCGAGATATCCGTCTATCAACCAAAGGATGTGTTTACTGCGCAGCAGTTCGTTCCGTCCTACTTTATGGCAGTGAAACATGGCCGGTAAGAGTAGAGGATATTTGTAGGTTACTAGTATTCGATCATAAGTGTCTTCGAAGCATTGCTCGTATATCCTGGGACCATCGAGTAAGCAATGCAGTTGTTAGGGAACGGATACTAGGTAAGGATGGCAAATCAATTGATGACGTAGTGAAACTTCATCAGTTGAGATGGCTGGAACACGTGTTACGTATGCCCAACCACCGACTGCCTGGACGTGCGATGTCCAATGGTATAGGAGTAGGTTGGAAGAAAGCTAGAGGCGGTCAGACCAAAACATGGCACAAGTCCATGAAGTCACCGACAAGTGGACTGAGTCATGTTGGTAGGTGTAGACTACCTGGTTGGGGACCGCGAGATGATAGCAACCGATGGTTAGAGACCCTGAATGACATGGCTGAAAATCGTCTGCAATGGCGCAGGTGCATTCACTCTTTGTGTTCTCCCAAATTTTGATCTCCTTATTCCTCCTTGTCTCTTTTTTTTCTCCTCTCAAATTTATTTCACTGGATTATACTCTTTAAGTAACATCTCCAAACACTAATCTTCCCGATTATTGCTTATACTCTTGCTACCTCTACCACTACGGGATTTGAATCGACCACTGCATCTCTATGCTAATGTGGTGTGGCAACTCGAACTGATGTACGTACGTACGAAGTCCTACGTTGTTACTGACTGACTGAAGACTGAGACGTATAAGCATCTTCACTACGATATGCAAGAAAGCCAAAAATGATCCGTGGGATGACTATTTTATAAACACTCAGTATGTTTCGCTCTAGTAAAAGAAGAGATAACATATCCCGTCCACTTACTTACTTACACATGTTACACTTCGTGGAGGAGTATTGACCAACCACTTGCATTCTCCATCCAACTCTGTCCGTTCCAGTTGCTATTCACCCTTTTCATATCTGCTTCCAATTCTCAGTGCAATTTGTTCTTTGGTTTTCCTCTTCTCCGTTTCCCCTCATGATTCCGAGTTAGGGCTTGCTTCGCGGAGCAGTTTGACGACTTCCACAATATACGTCCTATCCACCTCCAGCGTCTTTTCTTAATTTCTTCTCCAAATCGAAGCTGGTTAGTTCTCTTCCACAGTACCCTGTTGCTGATGGTATCCGCCCAACGAACATTGGGTACCTTGCGTATCCTATCGGATAGAAGAGCTAGGTTATCAGCGAGGTCCAAAACATCTAGTTGCATCCAAGCTATCCATTGCATTTGGTGCTTCCAGTCAGATGTGAAGGTATTCATAATCAGGTCAAACACCAGAAGAAAAAGAAGGCGGGGAGTATACAACCTTGTCTGACTCCGGTCATTATTTGGAATGTGTCTGTCAGCTGTCCTCCATACACAACTTTGCAGTGTAGTCCGTTCTATGGATTCCGGATGGTGTTGACGATCTTCTCACGTACACCCTAGTGTCGAAGAAGGTCCCATAAGGTTCTCCTATTCGTTCTCTCAAACGCCTTCTCATAGTCAAAGAAGTTGATGTATAGTGACGAAATCAATCCAATCGACTGTTCAACGGTGATCCGTAGTGTCGCGATCTGGTTTGTGCACGACCGATCCTTACGTAATCCGGTCTGTTGATCTCAAAGTTGGGTGTCAACTGAATCTTTCATCCGGTTCAGCAACACTCTGTTGAAGACTTTCCCTGGCATCGACAGTAGTGTGATGCCTCTATAGTTCTCACACTTGCTCAGATCTCCTTTCTTTTGTATTGTGATGGGATATCCTTCTTTTCAGTCTATCGGCACTTGTTCTTCCTCCCAAATCTTTCTGAATGGAACGTGGAGCATGTTTGGAGTTGATCATATGTCTGACTTCAGTGCTTCAGCTGGTATATTATCAGGTCCTGTCACTTTTCCACTCAGCCTATAGCTTTTCTATGGTTACTGCCGGTCCCAAGCCCGGGTAAAGACGAGGGTTGGGCATAAGGTCAGCAACCTCAGACTGTAGAAACAATCTTGCTAAAAAAACACTGACCAGAATAAACAAATTAAATCATCCCTTTCACTTAGCTCTTACAATATCACTTGAAAGACTTTCCATTTGTTGGTCCTCGTTTGTACAACTTCCGATATTAGTAAGTTTAACCAAAGGACTATTGTATTGTGGTTAACATCTTTACTGAAGTAATTAGTCCTTGTACTCCGGGCCGTGTTATACTGGAAATATTAATCGATAGAAGGTAATAAAACTTACTGTATCAACAACATCAGCATCGTTATCAGCTGGATGTTTTCGGAGCCAACTTCCTGATCGACGATTTTCATTATTAGATGGAAATGAATGACCATTATTTAAATCGAGGCTACATGAATTCGATCCAGTTACAACAGATGAATTTGCATCATTTTCCAATAATAATTCATACTTAGGGATTTCCGGTTTGATACTGTCAAAACTTTTGTTAGACAATGATGGTGAGAGCTGAGTTGTATTCTTCTTATTATTGACGTTAGACTCGAGCAACGTACCTTGCTTAATTTTTGTTTGAAGAAGTGAAGGCATATTGTTTAATGTGTTTAACAAATCATTCTTATCAGTGCATGCTAAAGGTTGATGAATTAATGACGATTCTGCGAAAAATACAACGGAAACGACATGTAATTTAAAGTATGAACATAGAAAAAATGTTTATGAACAGGCAAAAATAGAAGACGAAGTTATTCGTAAAACAGTTTAAATTAATGAAGGATAGATCTCTGTCGGAGCCCCCTAAATGTTGAAATCTTTTTTGAATTACTCGTGCGGTACTGAATTTTAGAGTAAAACACTAGATAAAAATAGTATGTTGGTTGACGAGACTTAGCAATTTTATTGACTAGGGTGGATTGGAAATCAAAGCAGAGCTACCACATACTCCAATATGCAATGGTGCTTAGAGAAGTATTCTGGAATTAGGATAAAACGACCGGACTAAGATAAAGTAGCAATCTATTAGGAAATTGACCATGGATGAGTTGTCTTAAGAGATGAAACTTCCTGCTAAAGTTTAAGAGAATTCAGATGAAAGTAGTTGCAATTGAGCAGATGTACTTATTCATTATCCTTATCTAAATAGTAAATTTTATTTTATTTTAGAACTATTACTATTGGACTGTGATCCAGTTCATTTATATTTTCTACCTCCATTTTTTATCGCCATTAATATTGTTTTTGATTCGCTAGTTCTTCATCTTGTGAATTTCTTCCTGAGTGTGGCGAAATGGGACGGCACAGCATTATGTCAAGTTCTACGTTATTTGTGAATAACTGTATCTAAAAATGATTTTCCTCAGACAATAGGACAGAAATATATCAAAGCAACTTATAACCATAGTTAAATTTCTCAGTCTAAAATAAGTGTCAGTATAGGGGTTGTGGAGATTATTAAGTTTTTGATTGAGATCATGAACAGATTGATGTTAGATCATATTTTCAATGGTGGTCTAACATCAATCGGTTTATGATCTCAATCAAAATATAATGTGTTTACGAAATGAGCAACAGATGAAATAAAAGACCCTATTCATAGTAAAGGTGCAAGTAACACGAGTGAAAAAAATTTGTAGGAAAGCAATCAGTTAATTAAATGCAAAGGAATTATAAGAGATTATTCTGTCTAAAATGGGTGATAAACCAAATTCTTATATCTAAATTCAAATGAATTATTGAAAAAATCAATTACCGAAGGTTGAAGTAGAGATACTGTTTTTCAAGATTGCTTCAAGTTTACAAGGCTCTTGATTTTCCAAATCCAAATGTGCAGTTTGTGGTGAATCAACAAAATTTTGACTTACTAAAGGCTCTGAGTCATATGCTAAAACGCTTCCCACAGTTATACGCTCAGGCTATTAAGAAAAACAAACAACTAGAGATCCGAATTTTTACTTAACACAAAAAGTGAAGATATAACATATCACAAAATTATATATAGTATAGTAAACAATAATTCGGCTGAATGAAGCCAATTTCTATATACATAGTAACTTAAATATTAGAATTATTTGCTACTCGACCACAAAACTTACAGGAAATGCTTATTTACAAGAATATTGAGGGCTGGTAGTTTTGAGGAATTGTTTCAGAGCAAATTTAAAGAAAAAGATCAATGCAACTCGCCGAATACAGATTATTATACTCGACTTCAAGCCATACCTTATGTACGAGGATTAGTGGTACTGCCTAGTAGGTGGAACAGAACCCGATCATGAGACCTAGTGGTCCAAGGTCGAACTCCTTAACCATCAAACTACTGATCACTTAGTTAATAGAGGATTTTGAATGAAAATGATTGATGATGAGAAAAATCCTGAAATTTAAAACTATCAACCAGAAGGAGGACGACAAATTTATGATAAACTTTTCCAAACAATTCTCTTTTCATGTAAACACAATCAACTAGACGGAATTTTTACACTTAGTCAAGGCAAAAAAGTATAACAGTCTGCTTTTCTATCTTGAAATGATATCAAAATTTAGTGTTCCAATTCGCTGAGATGTTTTTCAAAAAAAGTTGAATTGTCACGCATAAATTTGCATCCAATTGTTATAATCCGTAGCTAAATATGAACATTGTTAAGCTGTGAGATAGATTTATTTTTAACTTCGAAGATGCCAGTTTCTACCATATTTAACCGGTTTCATTAGTAAGCTACACCACGGAAAATCTTAAACAACCACAATAGGTTACGAGCAATGGAATAACTATGATATACTGACTTAATCAGACGATTTAAGTGTAGTATTTGTTTCAATGATGAATCGTATATAATTAAGTTGAAATCAAAGTTGCATAATGCAATAAACGTTTCGCTTAATCAAAAAGTAATTAATCAGGAAAGTCATTGCTTAATTCAGCTATAACGATTGTCAGACCTAAGGCCACTGGAATTTTATTTGGTTTGGGTAGCCACATAGTATCAAACATCCTAAAATGGGCAGTTTGGTTAAAACACAGACTATACCAAGAAAATCAGTTACAGTGAGAGATTAATTAGACACCAAATCAGATGAACATTTAAAATTAGAACACTAACAGTTTTCACAGGAACAATTTTAGATATAGTAGACCCAAATTTACGTTCACATAACCTTGCAGTTTGATATGATCTTAATTTGAGTCCAGAGTCTGATTCGGTATTCTTCATTTTAGATGAAAAACTAAGAGAATATTGTACACATAAATATTGGGTATGAAACAATAAAAAGGCAAATAAAAAATAAACACCATAGATCTGATTACTTAGATAAAACAAACTGCAGAGACCCAGTTTCATCTTAAAACGCAGAAAACATAGGTGATAAGTGGTGAATGCTCCAAAAATACATTACGTTAATAGATTATATCAGCCAATGATACCAGATTTTAACGTATGAAAACCCTGGAGCAACCATTACCAAACCCAACTATCGTTAAAAGCCACAAGAGATTCTTGTAATTTTTATCTGAAGATCAATGCGACAGCTGAAAGAGACAGAAACATTATCTTCTATGACAAAAGCGAACATTATTTTGGACAAATGAAGTTGGTTGAATTCCATGGGTATGAATTTACAAGTCTATCAATTATAGTATATAGTGTGGGGAGATAGAGTTAGGCGAAGCACAATTTCAGAACCAAGAGTCACTGTTGTATCCCCTTAGAGGTTAACACACTCAAATTCTAACAAGCAGATAACATGTTCAAACTTTGCACTACTAATTTTGGTTTGTGTTGCTGGCTAATAACCCTGGTTTTTATGCGAATAATAATCTGAGTTTATACCACTGCTTGAAAAATGATTTACAACCAATTCTGTTGACTAAATTTACAGAAATGATGACAGACGCCCAAACCCAAATGACTGAAAATCAAACAAGAAATAAGATAGAAAAATTGTGAAAAGACAAATTGAAATTACTATAATATCCACAAAAACCCTTCTGATATGATAAGACAAATAGTCAATCTAAAGTGAAAACAAAGATCGAAACTAAGATTATCCCTAAATATCCTCTAGAAAATTAATAAAATTATAGTCGCCTCATGTCTTCAAGAGGAAAGGCGCATTTGCTTTTCCTTTGTTTAGATTCACAGACATCAAGTTCAATTTTTGAAGTGTTTTCCGAAGCAAACAATTTGATACATATAAAATCGATTACTGTATTATTTGCAAACAAGTAAAACGAAGCTAATAGTTCTGGTTCAAACCGGCGATTTCATTAAAGAGGTGGTCAAACTAACGGATTAAATGTTTAGAGTTTTCGTTCTTGCGATATTGTGAATTTTCCTAGGAAAAGTAAAAAATTAAACAAAAGAACTAAAACAATGATGCGATCGGAAAGAAACAGTAGGGACAAACTTCCTATGAGTAGAGTCAGGAATTTTCGCGCCAACCACTGTAGTAGATGATTGACTAAGTTCTGATGAGACAACTTCCGAGTCTATTTGAAACGGATTCACCGAGAATGTACCAGATATATCAATTTCTTGGTATAATCCATCAGCTAAGCAAAAAAAGAAATAATTAAAATATTATTAATATCCCAACGAGTAGAAAATTGATCTTCTGGTGTTTCGTGACTTCAGTCAGTCATCTACAACGCACGACCAGACACATATATGCATCGGTCCAAGTTGCCATACCGCATTAGCACAACAAGATGGACACCGAATTCATAGAAGCAGTTACTTCAATGGTAGTAATATAAAAAAGAAAAATTGCACATAATGATATGACACAGAGGGAAAGAATTAGTTCGTAGAAAGAAAGGTATAAAGTAGTTTTAATCTCACGGTTTAAGGGAAGACAAAGAATGTGTACACCTACGCCAACGTGACTGATTTTGAGCCATGTCACCCAGTCTCCAACCCTTGGTAACGATAGTCACACAGACCCCAACCAAATGGTCTGCATCCACCAACGTGGATCAGACCAGAAGTTAGTGACCTAATGGACTGATGCCACGTTTTAGTTTGGCCGCCCCTAACTTCCATACGTCTCCAACACTAGTCAGCATTGTGCGTCATGGTAATCAGCGTTCCGGCATACGTAACAGGTGACTCAGCTGATGAAAATTCACAACCTCATCAACTGGTTTGCCATCGTTCCCTGATACCCTACACGTCTAACCTCACCATTACCTACCTGATGATCCCAGCAATATTTCTAAGACATCTGCAATCGCGTACTAGTAACTTACGAGTATCTTCAACTCTTAATGGCCACGTTTGGCAGCCGTAAAGTAGAACAGAACAAATTGCTGAGCAACATACTCGTTCCAGGAGTAGTGGATGGAAATTTCTCCTTCACCATAGGTCACGTAATTTGGTAAAAGCCAAACGAGCTTTTTGAATCCATGCTGAGATTTCATCAGACACCAACCCACTAGGGCTGATCAGACTTCCAAGATAAGTGTTGTCCACGCGTTCGACTACTTCACTCCCTATCCTTGGTCCAGGGTATTGATGTAAGCAAGTCCTGAAGCAACATTTAGAGCAGAAATGAATCTCAAACATTCTGGCATTGTTACTCAGTGCTACCAAAGGACTGCATTTTATCAGCTTCATCAAACATGACTATGTCATCTGCGTATCCTAAGTCAATAAGTGAACCTCCTGGTAAGGGATCAGTATCTGAAAATGCAGTAAACGACGACGTTATTCCCAGCAGTAGGTCTATGACGAAATTGAACAGAAATAGAGATAGTGGACAGTCTTGGCGGACACCACTTGAGATTGCAAAATCAAATGACAGTTCTCAATAAGCTCTGATTAGACTGGTAGTGTTCGAGTAAAGAGCCTTCACAAGGTTTATATACTTCTGAGGTACACCTTTCAACGACAGTCACTGCCACAGAACCTCTCGGTCTACAGAGTCAAATGCTGTTTCTAAATTTTAAAAAACTATCATTGTCGGGCAAGAATGGGCATGGTTGTGTTCTAAAATCTGATGAGCGGTGAATATGTGGTCGATGCAGCCACGACTAGATCTGAAGCCAACCTGATTTTCTCGTGTTTGCAGTTCACGAGTCTTTTTAAGACGTCCGATAATTATTGAGGCTAGTATTTTAGATGTCATATTGGTTAAACTAATCCCTTTATGGTTAGCACAGGATGACCTCGACCCCTTCTTATATATTTAGACGATCAGTGGTTGCGATCAGTCACATGAGATTACGTCCTATTCCCAGATTTTAGCGAAAATATTTGTCAACCTAATCGCTAAAACTGAACCACCATCCTTAAAGACATCTAGAGTTAATCCATCTGCCTTTCTGCGTTTCAGATTAGCTATAGCTTTTGAACTTCAATCAGTGTCGAGAAGCTTAATTCAAATTGCTCCTTGAAGTGTTCCGTTTATCGTTCTAAATCTCTAAACTGAGAGCAGATAAGGGTGTTTTTTTTTCCAAAACTGTTTCACACGACTTTTTAATTCCGGTTTCCTTTATTAGTCTGAAAAGATGTCTGATGTTACCTACAGCCGCTGCCTTTTCAATCCCTTGCTTTCGTTGCCTGCGACTGATGACGATCGTTCCGCAGGCTTTTGACTAGCTTATATCTTATTTGTTTTCGCTTTCATCGCGTTCGGAGCCTGATCGGCTAAGTTCACGAAAATCTATCAGTGCAATAGTTGTCGCAGCTGTTTCCACAGATGTTCGTATATCTTTCTAATCAACATCTAGGTTAGCCTAGTTTTCGGAACTACCTAAGTGTGTCCTCATTTGTTCCCGGAATCTACTCTTAACTTTTCGTCACTGAGTTCAACTTTCATGGGTCTTCTTAATGTGATTTTTCTGTGTCCAGTGAGGCGCAAGCAAATGCGTGCTCGTATTAGAGTATGATCAGAGTCTAAACATGTACTCGAGGACGGGTGGCAGTCTTCTATCGAGCCCCTCCAACGATGACTGATGGCGATATGGTCTATTTGAGTTCATCGCTGGTTTGGTGCATGGGGTCGCCATATCAGACGATGTCTCTCCTTATGCTTAAAAATAGTGCTTGTCAGAAATAAACGATTGCCCAAGTGACAACCGCTTGAGACCGGTCACACACAACCTTTTTGTGAGTAATTTTCGTGTTAGCTCCGTACTTGTTGGGGCCTTACGGCCGGAGATAGGAATCTGTAGGATAAGGTGAGGTGTGCATTTTGGGGGTCGACCTTTTCTAACCCCACCGTTCCTTGTGGGAAGTCTGCATCACTGTTATGCTTGGTGTCTGAAGGAAATATCTTACTGCCATTACACCTCTGTACTGTCAGCAGTCTTACTATTCTTCAACCGACCTGTTTAACATGGTAGGACCTTGAGGAACGATTGTTCCAACCAATGTATTTCTATTTGTTCTTTACGACAAGTAAGCCCGACAATCACGTTAAGGTAGCAGCAACGGTCGGAGTTCCGCGACTTACTGCAAGTCACTTCTTCAAAGGATGAGTAAACAACTGTGATTAAATGAGTACAATTTAATATAGCACAAAGGGATCAAAGTAAGATATTTAGTACATTCAAAACTAGTTTGGTCATAATGTTATTTCGCTCAGGTTTAGGTAATCATGTGAGATATACTCATGTGCAGTATGTGAGTGATTGTAAGTGTAAAAAAGGTAGAGTTATACTTGTGTATTAATACTATCAGATATGAACAGATTAGTTATTTGTTTGAATAATTCATACAAATTGGATGAGTAGCTAAGCCTAACTTTCTGCTAAACGCAGTAAGGTTTAACGATAAATTATAAGTTCCAGCCGCTAATTCTTTATTTTTAGGGAAACCCTTTTCAATAATTTCGACACTTCTGACATTAGTTTCAGTCAGTCAGCTACAACGTAAGACCAGGCACGTATATGCATCGGTTCAAGTTGCCATACCGCATTAGCACAACAAGATAAACACCGGATTCATAGAAGTAATTAATTCAATGGTGGTAATATACAAAAGAAAGATTGCATATAAGGATGTAGTACAGGAAGAATGATTTAGTACGTAGATAGGAAGAAAGATATTAAGCGATTTTAATCTCATAGTTTAAGGGAAGACAGAGAGTGTATACACCGACGCCACTGTGATCAATTCTGAGCCATGTCAACCAGTCTCCAACCATTGGTTACGACAGTCACGCGGACCCTAACATCGGTTTCATGGTTGTTGAAAGCAGCATATACTGCTTTTGCCGATTTAATTTACAGATCGGAGTTTTACAGGACTATTCAATCTTTAAGATCATCCTAGATATTCGTTGTCAGGAATCACGATTTCATGAAACGACTCTAGTACGGAACGAATTACAATCAACACAATCTAATTTTCATACATAATTGTGTAAAGATTAACATCATTTCTTCATAAACAATCTAACAAATGGTCAATTCGCTTGAAATTAATAGGTCAAACAATGACACACGGCATGTTAACGGAATGGAATCTTAAATACTCAGTTTATCTGTTCACTGACTACACGTCACTTTAGTATAAGATAAAAAACGATTGCCGAAAATTTTCAATGACATGAAAAAACAATTACGTCTAAAAACAGAAGATAATGATAATTGCTTACGGCAGCGTTTATCTGGATTGCAATATAACTTTGTCGAGCAATATACAACAGCGAAACCCAGTTCTGATTCTAGAATGGGTCTGCGGCGTAGACTACGCAATACAGAATAAACTTTTCGCTGCCATGATTCGGTTACAGATGTGGGATGAAAATGAACGACGCATGACTCTGGTTTCGATAAAATATCACGAAGGAGATCATCTACAGCAATATGTCCAGTCACATGCATTTTATTGTTTGAATTGAAGGTAAGTAGAGCATCAGGAGAATCAAGTAAACATGAACTCCCGTTCCCCAAACGGATTATATCCGACAGAATATTGTACTACAACCACGAATAGTTTATAGTCAGATCTACGACTAACCTTGTCTTTATTTAGAACAAAGAATACCTTTCTACTAAATAAAAGACGTCGCAAATCATTGGGGAGAAACTTTGAGGCGTCATTCTGTGTCAGTTTTTCCTCCTTCATAATCGGCAAAAAGTCTTTCTAGAGGGTTAAAAGTCAAGAATTATGTGTTACTGGATCAGGTTTCGTTGCGAATGTGTAGCCTTGGATTTTCTTGATTTCTTCCAAGTAGTCCGGTGTAACAATAGGAATACAGCTAAGTAATGCACATATAACCTGCTAAATATAGGACGATATTAGAAACTATCACTTTCGAAGTAACAATCAGAGATTGCATAACAAGAACATTGCATTCGTTCGACCAATCACTTAAAACTTTTGCATGAATGAGGTTGGCGACTGTTTTAGCTTTTTTTCGTATATTCCTCTCCATCGAAGAAAAAAGTATATTGATTTCTTTGTAGATCAACCTTCGAAAATTAATAAGCTGATAACATACATAAACTTCTTGTTCGATACGGAACGAAATTGTACCATGTCTCCTGACTTTATGAGCTGGTATTCTTTTGACAACACGCCATTGACTAAAGATTGTCCCTGAACATTTTCCGACAGATTAAACTGTAAACCGTTCTACTGTGTTTATTAAAACAGGACAAGCATACCACACAATTAGTATCAGTACCGATAACAAACATATTAGCCACCTCACTGCACACAGCTGGCCGCAAGTCAACGTCACATCCTGAACCACCAAACTTAATAACACCTGGTTGGCTGATAACGAAGGTCTTATTGAGCACTAAAATCTGTAACAAGATATTTAGGGAAGTACCGTCTCCGATAAACTCCTGTAACTCCCACATTGTATATAGCGCTCCTCCGCTCGGTCACTAGATCTCGCTAAGACAAGTGTCAAAAATTGACTGGTGAAGACAAATCAAAACTCTTGAAATGCAGGGTTATATATGCGTTCTCTAAGCTTGTTTAATCTACACAAAAAAAGCTTGATATTAAGGCCATGTGATTTCGGCTGTGGATTGAAATGAAGTTACTGGAGAAATATTCGATCAAATAATTTAAACAGGGTGATTCTTCGCAGTCATTCATGTAACCTTTTGACTCTTCATAGTCTTACGGAGACGTTAAACCAACTACGTGATTTTCGCCATTCGTATGAGCATTCGTGGATTTGGTGGTTAGATATACGCGTTTGTTTTAGGTCAATGAAATTACTTGTATCACATACTCTGACTTTGCTGTAAAATCGTTCCGGAACTCATTTGAGATTCAAATTATATAAGCAACCTCGAACAAAGTTCTGAAATAAATAGTTCTGTAGGTCTTTGACACTGATGCCGACATGTTTACTTTTACCGAACATACCTTAGCTGAAGGCTCCCGGTCACCCATCCACACTGGATCATCACTGAGTGTCTCGTGCTGCGCATCTATCACAACTAACCAGCTTAGATCACACACTTCTCTATACACCTACTGTCTTCTAAATGTATCTTCAATCCCCTTCATTCCTTAATTCTGATTTGGTTGTGTACGTTGTCTGAATAAAGAATGAAAAATTAATTAATTACTCTTTAGTAACATAGAGAAAACTCGGAAATGCACACTCTCAAGTGTAAGCCTGGTTTATACACATGAAGAGAATTGCTGACTAGTGCCATACGCCACGGCATTATAGTACGAAGTTACCCCTAGTTAGTGGATGAATTAACAGTATGGGGGAGTATAAGTAAATCAAAATACTGTTTTGTAAATTGGACATATCTTAACTGTCTAATTATTCTTTCAGGTGTAGCGACGGACGTCTGAGTTAGTACATGTTATGAAGCAGGTTTTCAAACAAGAAAATGTCTCTACTTTCAGTATAAACACTATTAAAGAAAGACGATTTAACCCTAACGGCATTGATAATATTTGTTTTATTAAATTCGTCCCAGGTATTATTTCTATAACCTTTGTTGACACCTCTGGGATGGATGTAGTATGCTCATTTGTGCCATCGTTAGACACCGTCCATTGTAATAAAATTACGTGTATCCTCAGTTAACGGCTACGCAACATATTGTTTGCCGTGTTTAACGTTTAGGAAGTGATGTCATCAGTCGGATAACGTGCCTGTCAAAACGTTACATGTGGCCAGATGGGGTATGTGCGGAGCCCCCGTTTGAAACAGAAAAATATCCAATCGGTGGTAGTTTAGTTTTGTAGGCCAATTCCGTCAAGCAACACTCATTATCATCCTTTATTGTCGTTCTGGTCTCACTTATAAACAAAGAGGGTTTTACCACCTATTGTCAGTCTGCATATTCGCTGAGGGGTTTAAATCACCGATGTGAGCCTCTCGTCCTCCCACCACGTATGAGACGACAGGCTGTTGCAGGGTCTCCTTCAGTCCCTAAGCGCTCAGTAAGCCGATGAAAAATGCGAGTTCCGAAATAAACTTCTATCAGTGTAGAGAACCATGGTAGTACCAAAACGGCAAACTTAATTTTCTATCGGTCTTATGGCTACCACTTCTGCTGAGATCTTTATAAGATAGACGGCTACTAACTAAATTTTGAATTTGTTTGTATGCATAAAATTTACTTGAAATAGCGTGACGAAGTTAATGATTGAACAATATCGATAAGGATAAATCACAATATTGGAATGGAGATACGGAAGGAACAGAGTAAAGAAATTTCCTATCAGTGAATCATAACGTTTTGATTTGCGACCGATGTTTGCGACAATGGTGGTCAACAAGTCCTAAAGATAAATAGCCTCACAAAATTTTGACGTCGACACTGACCACATTGATTTTGTTGAACACAGCATTGTTCGAACGCAGTTGGCCAAGGATGCTTAGAAAACCACTTTTCAACACGCTATGCAAAGCATCTCCTATAATAATTAGCTAGACCAGAGCGTGTATGCCATGATATCCTTACCAGTGATTCAAATATATCTTTCTTTCGCAACTCTTGGTTCCGTTCGCCTTGGGGTCGTTTAGTTGATGGAGATTAAAGCGGTTATGCTGTCAAATATTGAGTATCCGATATCTCTTCACGACCAACACCTAACATCGCGATTGTATTCGGGCCCAATAGCAATGTCTTTTATTTCCGCGTATGCTATATTGTGCTCGGTCCTAAAAGCATTATGTATCACGACTTTTAGCATGTATCCTTTGAATTTTTCCTTAAAATATTACATCGCACTTTAGCAACGTCACTGTGTGGTTCACTGAAAACAAGAAGTCGTCGAAAAAAATAATACCATGGGTAACTATTCATTTGTTATATATGTACAGCCGAAAGTACAGTCAATCTAAAGAGAGCTAAAGATGTTGAGTGATATCCTTCAACGGGTGTCTGTAATATCAATTTTTTCCTTCTACATAATGTATAACCGGCGTGAACTATCGAGTAAATACGTCAGTGATGCATTACAGACGGCTATGTTCACCAGCTATGGTTGGCTTTAACGCGTGCCGGAAGGGAAGTTCTCCGAAGTGCTTTTCGTGTCCGATCCTCAAATTCAAGATAGAGAACAGCAACCCAATCACACGTGATTGAGAAACTCTGTAAGAGTTGGAAAGTTTCATTCACCTGCATAGCATCGTAGATGGACGTGAAGGATTTGATGCAGACGTGAATTCGAAGATTGGCACATCAGGAAAACATTCCTATAGTCAAAGAACATATGGAACTGTAAAATTCTGTCAGCTAATATCAAAGTCAGAATCTTCAGTACGAACGTAAAAGCAGTTCTACCTTAAGAGCTGGAAATTAGAGAACCACCAAAATCACAATCAAAAATGTTCGAGTATTTATAAACATTTATCTACGTCAGATACTGAATGACCGTTAGCCAAATACCACCAGAAACAGCCTACTGTGGGAGAGAACAAACCAACTTCTAGCTGAGAATGAAATTAGGAAAAGACGTTGGAAGTGGATAAGATACAAATTGAAGAAATCAGCAAACTGCATCACGATGTATGCGCTAACATGTAGTCGTGAAGGGAAACGAAAAATAGGAAGGCCGAAGGACACACTATGTCGAGAATTGGAGCAGACATGAAAAGGATGAATAGCAACTGGAAAGAACTGGACAGTATTGCCTAGAACAGAGTTGGATGGAGAATGCTGGTGGACGGTCTATGCTTTTCCTTGAAGGGTAAGACGCGTACATAAGTAAGTAAAAGTGAGAGTATGACAGAGGTTCGTAACGTCACTTTGTTTTGTTTGAGACTTTTCTTTGACAGAGCAAACCTCGACGTTGTGGGGTTTTAGTGAAGTCTACTGTCCGGCAGATGCAGCAAGTCCGTCTACAACTTCATTTTTTAATGATACAAGGATTGCCTGCACGTGTTAGGGAAGCTTGTACGAGCAGTATCATTTCTGTCTGTGAGCCATGTTGTGATTCGGTGTTGTGGAAAAGTTGGTCTAAACGTTGTCGGTTGGATAGGTATCCACGTTAAAGCATAGCGTTCTTCAAAGTGTCGGAAGGTTCCAAAACATCACTGGGGAACATACTATGTATGAAGTACTCATCGAAATCGCGTGGTGATGCCTTCACAACTGTGAAAAAGTGTGCACGTAGGTCTGTCACTCCGTGCTCGTGGAAGTCAACTTCTGCGTAGCAGAACCAGGCTACTATATTGGCAGGTCGCAATAGCTTTAACTGAAGTGTCAAACACGAAAGAAGTTTAATCCCAAGTAATTAAGATGTCTGTTTAACCATGATGAAGATATAATACAGCAATGAACGAGAAAGGGAATATCCGAAAACATGAGAACAATGTCACAATCTGTAAAGATAAAAATTAAAAAATGATATACAATGTTCCAACAAGGTACAGACATACAGTTCACGAATTAATGTACCAGATCATGTCGATCTCACCACTAAAGATGCCACAGCTATTTGAATTTTAACAACACCTTTACACGTGACACCTTTATAATCGGAATATACCAACCCAGTCAAATGAGAAATCAGAAATGAAGTGGTATATATTTGAAAATCTATCAAATTCACGAGGAGCGTTCGATCCAATCAAGCTAGTAGTTGCAAGGGATGCGTGGTACCTACTCGCGAGTGGGTGTGGATGCATGAACCAGAGCCTTCAGCTACGTATGTTCAGTGAAACTAATGAGGTCAGCATTATTGTCGAAGACCTACCGAACCATTTATTTTAGGGATTTATACACCACTGCGTGTTGTTTGCAATTAAATGACCTTCCTCAATTACTGTTTTTTTTACATAATTGATTGTTTTTCTTAACAGTTGTCTAGCTAATCATATTGAAAATTACCTATATAAAAAAGATTTACCTAATTTCGAACTTACTGGAGAAACTTATTTATCAAGTTAAGACATATACATTCAGCTTCGAACAATATTTTTATGATATGATTGACCGATGAAATCATCCGTTTGCTCAAAATGAAATACTCATATAGATTAGTTTCATTTAATTATTTAATCAGAAATGTTCATATAGTTCTACATGTTTTCTTACATATCAGCTAATAGTTAATCGTATTTTGGTTGTGCTGATCATTTTTACACATCATAGATCAAAACATTCTGGAAATTAAGAAAGATAGTTTTATTTCAAGAAACAGCTTTTCGTTATTTACAATTCAGCTACAATAAAAGCTTAATTTATCGAATTATGTAAAATATATTTTGGACAAACTTCATTTTCATACTTTATTATTAGCATCTCCATAATAACAAGAATGTACAACTAACTAACTAACTAACTATTCAACTATTTACTTATAATCTAATGTTATTTAGCAATATATTAGTTATTTTACTTGATAAAAGCGCTTAGATGTTTGCTTATTG